ATCAGACAGTGAAGCATACATTCAATTACAACGCTCTTCAACAATCCCAATACGCAACGGAGTACTTACATGGGTACACGTCTTAGAAGAAGACACTTCAACGGTTATTTTACGTTGTATGGATTCAACAAAAAACGATAGAGCTTTATTCGTTTCATACGTCGAAGAATTCTCCGAACCAAGAGATTTCATAGATTTATACTTCTTCTACCACACAATATTTAATTAACTTTTTAATCTATTATTTTCATTTCAATGGAAGAAATATACAACGTCACGGCCTTAGCACAAGAAATTAAAGATGCTGGTCAAACCTACTTTGACATTATAAGCGAAAAAACAACATATAGATTAGAAAATTTCCCAGAAGATCAATCAGAAAATCTATTTATACCATTTAATCAAGTATCAGCAAATCCCAATTATGTTCAAGATTCAACAACAACAAAAATAACTTTCGCGGAAATGATTCCGCACTTATATTCATCAACAACTGATATGGATTCAGATGCAACAGACGCCCAAACAATTAAAACAAATTCAAATAATTATTATACATTAATAAAAAATACCGATACTTCCGAACATGATTATGGAATACCAACAAATGCTTTACAAGGAGGATTTTTCGCGATTTTATTCAATGTAGTAGAAGGAACAACAACAAGAGAAGAAGTAACAATATCAATGAAAACGCCATCAACAAGTAGTACACCATTCACTTTATATCCAAATGGAGTGGGAATTTTCATTTCAATATCCGCCCCAGGAAATTTACTCTTATCAAATTCTCCAACTTCAACTACTCAACAATCTCATAAAGAAATGAAAATAAGAATACCATTTGTAGCCTCACATTCAGTAAGCTTATCTCCAGATATGTTCGATACTTCAATCTTAAATCTTTAATTTAATTTCTTTGTGAAAATTTAACGTTGTCAGTTGTCAGGAAAATAAGAGTGAAATAACAACCGAAGGGAAGTGCATGTAACGATTTCCTGATAACTGATAACATTAAATCAAGCAAAGGAATTTTATGTTTTATATCCCATAACAGTCAGTGGGTGTGCCAATATTAAGTCTATTCTGACTCTGACACCCCAAAAAATATATATATATATATTTACTGACTATATATTTTTATTATATTTTATAATATTTTTACTATAAATTTACTATAATTTTGGTCAGTGAGTCAGCTGACTTTTCATTTTGAGATTTTTAGATTTTGTGCTGACTATTTTTTAGATTTTTGTGTTATCTATCCCATAATTCATTGAGTTTTAACCACGTAATGATTACGTCATTTGAGTTTTATTTAACCTCATTGATGTGTTACCACATCATCTAATTCTATTTCTATAAATATATTTGACGTATTGCCACGTCATGTTCTATTTCTATTTATAGTTGCCACGTCATCACACTCATTTTGTGATCATTGCTGTGTTCTATTTTTAGAAACACATA